ATTTATTTATTTATTTATTTTGTATATAAGCCCGGCAAATAAAGCGGAGACAAGATAGCAGACAAGAGAGATATAGAGACAGATAACTGAGTCAAGCAAGCGGTAGTGACCGTAATTTAAGTGTGTGAATCGTTGTGAATTATAGCGTATGTTTAAGTTAAAGTGACTGTGGAAATTAAGTGTATTGCAAAGTTGTATTGAGAAAGAATAAACTAGTTTTATTTAAGAAAGAACTTGTATCACTGAAGTTATTCGGAAATAATTTGTACGGGAAATTAACAAACGACCAGAGACGTAACAATACAATAAAAACTGAAACTCATTTACACACACACACACACAAAGAAAAAATATAGTGAGCCATAATTTGAAAACTACACTCTGAAGTTCTTCGTATTTTTAATAACATATAAACCGGCAACAGACGCAATAAGTGATGATTTATTTAATTAGAGTTATATCTAATTATTATTAATTTCCTATCTAATTCCAATAATTCAACACATCATGTTAGTGCTTAGCTCATTATAAACCACCAAGTTCTTCATAAAAGGTAACCAGAGTTAGAACGTGAGTACGTGCTTTATATGTAAAGTGCGTTACAATTTGAGGAGAACAGTGTATTTTATTTTTTATTTATATAAAATAATATATGTAGTTAAACAAAAATTACACCAGATGGTTTCTCTTCGTGTGTTTTATTTTTTTATTTATATAAAATAATATATGTAGTTAAACAAAAATTACACCAGATGGTTTCTCTTCGTGTGTTTTATTTTTTATTTATATAAAATAATATATGTAGTTAAACAAAAATTACACCAGATGGTTTCTCTTCGTGTGTTTTATTTTTTATTATTTATTATTATTATTATTGTAAGAGTAGCTATTTTACTAGCTTACTTGACGAAGCGTATCCAGGAGGCTCTCGACACTGTGTGCGATCCTCGGCAGCGGCTGCACGTGACGCAAGCCTCGTCCTCGCCTCACGCGCTCGTATATTGCTGACGTAGAAGGTGCTCGACTTAACCAGTCACGATATTCACCTGCAGTGAAAATATTAGGAGAGGGCCTGTGACGACCTGGGAAAAAAATCGAAAAGAAAAAAACTTAAAAGGGGCAAGAAAATGCGAAAACCATCTATACACACAAAAACAAGTAACTGAAAGTGTTCTGCATTTTCCTCTTGAGCGACACCTTACGCCACAGATTGGGTCAAGTTTGTTTTGTTGTTAAACACAAAGTTACATAGTGGGCTATATGAGCTGTGCCCATCAACGAGAATCGAAACCCGGTTTTTAGCGGTGTGAGCCCTCGGACTTACCGCTGAGCCACTGGGGGCACATATAGGTTAAGAGGCCGGGTCATGAAACCCTACGCCCAAAAACCGAAAAATGTGTTTAAAATATGTTTATATATATATATATATATATATATATATATATATAATCGGCCCGGCATGGCCAGGTGGTTGGGACGCTCGACTAGCAATCTGAGATACGCGGGTTCGTTGGTAAAAGAGTAGCCCAAGAGTTGGCGGTGGGTGGTGATGACTAGCTGCTTTCCCTCTAGTCTTTCACTGCTGAATTAGGGTTGGCTAGCGCAGATAGCCCTCGTGTAGCTTTGCGCGAAATTCAAATCCTTATATGTAATAGCAATTTCTATTCAGATTTTTAACGTGATTCACGCTGCCCCTAATTACACCATAGTGGTTTACATTTGCACTGTTTCTATAGTTCATAGAAATTCTGAAAAAAAAACGGAGAAACATGGATAAATGGAAATTTTGTCTTAACAGAAGTCCCCCCCAGCGGCACAGCGGTATGTCTGCGGACTTACAACGCTAAAAAATCGGGTTTCAATACACGTGGCGAGCAGAGCACATATAGCCCATTTGCAGCTTTGTGCTTAACTACAAACAAACTAACTTTACAGATGGTTAGGTACATTATATGGAAACGATTTTGGAGCCTCATCACGTCGTTATAGTCCATGTCGACGCGTCCGGTCATGTTCTATCTGACGACCATACATCTTAATGATAGCCCTGCAGCATAGTTTCCATTGCAAAATGCTCCGTCGTAAGTTTTTAATGTCCAAAGTACACAATTCCTCCATTCTTGATTTCTGTTAGCCATCAAGTATATGAACACACACACAACAGTCCAATCGCACAGTTAAACGGATTTGTCGTGGAAGCGGCTTGCAAGCACGTAACTTGTTCCACCTTTACAAACTCAGATCCTTCTCGATTGTGTTGTGTACTGTTCCCTGAGGCACTTGGGCGGTGTTTATCACCGACCTTTGAATTCTTATATTCTCACCTGCTACAAGACTACAAATTTATTATGTTGCCTGGGCTACAACATGTTGAATTGCAGGTCTCTTTCTAGATGGTCCAGGTGTCCCAAGTTGATCCATATTCCTATATTTTCCATTGCAATTGTGTAGAAGAGAAAACCCATCTTGGAAATTCTAAATCTCCGATCTGAACACATCTTTATGGTCCGAGAGTATGAATATTTTGCGACATAAATCGCTATTACATACCCTTTCCTAAAGCGATCAAGTTCCAGGACACTACACTATCTACGAAACAATGTCAAATGTAATTCTGATACATTCTGTTCCACCACGACTTTAGATCAGCTGTGGTTGTCACATAACTTGGCGATTTCCATATTCAAAAACGTTTTGATAGAATAATGGGATATTCAAATGACAATGGATGCACATTCGCCACCAAGGCACTCTGTAATATGCTGCTTTCAGAATTTCTGGAAGGTTTAAGTGTATGTGGGACAAGTAGATCAACGAATATTCTTAAAATTAAAATGATAAAAAACACTAATATTAGGTGACATTTGGAAATAAGTAGCCGAGAATATTATAACAATCTTAAGGGCTTCAATGTCATATAAATATTGTAATAAGTTAAGTCGAGGGCTTCAATGTCGTATAAGTATTGTAATAAGTTGAGTCGGGAAGCTTCAATGTCATATACATATTGTAGTAAGTCGAAGGGCTTCAATGTCATATAAATATTGTAATAAGTTATGTCGAGGGGCTTCAATGTCATATAAATATTGTAATAAGTAAAGTCGAGGTGCTTCAATGTCATAAATACTGTAATGATTTAAGTTGAGGGATTCAATGTCATATAAATATTGTAATAAGTTAAGTAGAGGGGCTTCAATGTCATATAAATATTGTACTAAGTTGAGTCGAGGGCTTTAATGTCGTATAAATATTGTAATAAGTCGAAGGGCTTCAATGTCATATAAGTATTGTAATAAGTTATGTCGAGGGGCTTCAATGTCATAAATACTGTAATAAGTTAAGTCGAGGGGCTTAAATGTTATATAAATATTGTAATAAGTTAAGTCGAAGGGCTTCAATGTCATATAAATATTGTAATAAGTTAAGTCGATGGGCTTCAATGTCATATAAATATTGTAATAAGTTAAGTCTGGGGCTTCAATGTCATATAAATACTGTAATAAGTTAAGTCGAGGGGCTTCAATGTCATAAATACTGTAATAATTTAAGTTGAGGGGCTCAATGTCATAAATACTGTAGTAATTTAAGTTGAGGGCTTCAATGTCATAAATACTGTAATAATTTAAGTTGAGGGGGCTTCAATGTCATAACTACTGTAATAATTTAAGTTGAGGGGCTTAAATGTCATATACATATTATAATAAACTAAGTCGAGGGACATCGATTCCATATACATATTATAATAAACTAAGTCGAAGGACATCGATTCCATATACATATTATAATAAACTATGTCGAAGGACATCGATTCCATATACATATTGTAATAAACTAAGTCGAAGGACATCGATTCCATATACATGTTATAATAAACTAAGTCGAAGGACATCGATTCCATATACATATTATAATAAACTAAGTCGAAGGGCATCGATTCCATATACATGTTATAATAAACTAAGTCGAAGGACATCGATTCCATATACATGTTATAATAAACTAAGTCGAAGTACATCGATTCCATATACATATTATAATAAACTATGTCGAAGGACATCGATTCTGTATACATATTATAATAAACTAAGTCGAAGAACATCGATTCCATATACATATTATAATAAACTAAGTCGAAGGACATCGATTCCATATACATGTTATAATAAACTAAGTCGAAGGACATCGATTCCATATACATGTTATAA